TAATTTTGTCCTTTATTTTCACTCTTCCCTCCCCCACCCCTTTCTAGTCTGGATGCCAGTATGCATAGAGAGAGATATTTCTGAATTTGTTATGAGGCTGAGAAGTAGCCCATGAGTTCCTGGAGTTGAAAAAAAATCCCACAGTGGGACTAAAAGGTGTCTATACTCTCTGCATTAGGAGACCACCAAATGTATATTATTAAATTATTAATACAGCACCATAATTTTTTCTGGAGCTTTATAGAGTAAAATACTTTTCCTCATAGTTTTGATACAATGCTGAAAGTGATTGGGCTCCATTCACATTAGCACTTACACCTTTGCTAACACTAGCTGCGGTAATGTCACATACCAGAAAATAACTTTTGAGAAATGCCCTTGACCTTACAGCACCAGTTCTGTGGCTATCATTTTTATAACAGTGCTGAATGAAGTCACGTGGAAGTAACAGCAAAGTTTCCTCAGCAAAACCACTCATTACTGTGTTTCGGGAAGCTGAGGGTTATGAAGCAAGTTTAATCAAGGAGTGTTATTCTGTGAGACTGTTCAGACTATTTCCCATATGAAACCAACCTAAGATTAAAAAGCAATCTACAAGAAAGATTGAAGAAAATCAGCTTTTTTTTAACAAAATATTACTGGAGACCACTATTGTGTCAGCTTTCATAAAGTAGAAAAGGTTAAACCTGACCAGTATTCAGAATGGAGACATTCCAAAAAATCCTAGCCATGCCATAGGATGGCCTCGGAGAGGTAGCCCTGTTAGGCTGTAACTGAAAAAAATTAACAAACAACAAATAGTTCTTCAGCTGTTAAGTACCCAGTTCTTAGCTTTTTGTGTCATTAGGGTGTGGAATGTAGCAGCCCATCCTGGTCAGGTCTTTATTCAAACCTTGATTACAGGTATCAAACCTGTAAATGAAACCAAGTTTTGCAGCTTCTCTCTCCAGCTGTTTTTTCCACACCATAATGACATAAGCTAAACACTGGGTATTTACAGCACACTCTATTAACCTCATTTAACAGGGATATTCTAATTGACAATTTTTTCCCTTTTCTTTATCTTCCCATCCCCTCTCTTTCTCTATTTATTTGTACCCTGGACCACTTCATTCATCTGAATAACTGTGTTGTGCCCACAAAAGCTCATGATACTATCTACATTTTCTGCTAGTCTCTAAGGTGCTGCAAAACTCTGTTGCTTTTTAAGTGTTTTCATGCCATAGGATATGGTTTGGACAATGATAATTTAAAGGAGAGGCTGAACCTGTGCCATGCTCAGCTATGAACTGCTAGCCTGGCCTATCTAGATGCAGAGTATCTCCATCACTGAGAAGGGATATGGGTTACAGGAAATGAGATAAGGCTGAGCAATGTCCCAGGCGAGAGCTCTGGGGCAGGAATTTTCCTCATAGCAGTAATGAATAGGATGTTTCACTGCCCTCTCAAGTTTGGCCCTGTCATCCTTCCACTATAACAGTGGTGGGGGCCAAACCTGAGTGAGTGGTACTGTGCCCCTAGTGCATGGGAGTTTCAGTGCTGCACAAGACTGGGCCTGCATCCCCCTAAAGAGGCCACAGCGCCAAACCTAATAAGTTCTGCAAACTTCTCTCCTACAGCATGAAAACACTTAAAAATGTGCAATGGATTGCACCACTCACACGCTGTTAGCTGTGTAGCTTCCCCTATGGGCAGTGTTCCCTGTAAGCAGTGTGCTTGTATGGCCACCCAGGAAAGATTGAAATGTCACCCATCTGTTTAGCAAAATGCCCACAGCTGTCCACAATCAGCAGCATGTGTTAGCTACTGATGGTGCACAGCTGCAAATGCCTTGGTGCACATAAAATTTATTCAGCACATGGATGGAAAAAATTAGAGGGAACATTGCATAGGGCTGTGAGGCCAGGTCTGACTAAGCAAATGGGCAGCCAGCACTCTTCTTCCTTGCCACTGGTACACATCTTGCATATCATGCCCATGGCCAGGGGCACTACTGCCTGCTCTGATCAAAGTGCATGATCAGGATGTAAATCAGTACTGAATCAATGCCTGGATGAGGTAGTAAGGGAGACTAAGCAGGTGATGGCTGGAACCATTTTTTTTTATTAAGATCCCATTGTACTTTCTGCAAGAGATGACACATGAATCCTGATGCCATAGCCAAAATTCAGCTTAGGTAGAAATATCCTGTCTTCCCGAAATTCCCTCTGTGGTTTCAATGTATATTATAAATAAATATAATTCCTCTTTTCCCCTTCTAAATAGAAATATTGTTGCATGGTGTTTCTGGTGAATCATGAATATAGCATGCCACCTCAGAAATGGCCACATTTCAGTAGGGAGAGAATGATCCCTGTAGAATCAGATTTTTAGAATAATTTGAGAGCCATCTGGGTCAAAATAGCTAAAATATGATCAGTCATCAAAATACCTTGAATGCTTTATCTACATGTTAATTAAATTCTAATAGTAAATTTGGGTGCAATATAGCAGTTGTTTCAGGGGTGCTGGAGCATTTTCTATAGTGGAGGTGTTAAGAGCCATTGCACCAAACAGTAAATTCTGTATATAATGGAAACCACTTTAAGTTTGGGGGGAGGTGCTGCAGCAAACA